ACCTGCATGAGAGAACAACATTGGACCATGCCTATGGCAGCCGCACTTTTTGAACTCACCAAAGGCATGGGTTCAGACTTAAGGGCTTAATAAAGATTGTACTGGTTTTATCAAATAGAAAACATATGATGGGAAACTGTATCACCTTATAGAATTACTAGTGGCTAACTTGTAAATACTTTGATTCACACTTCCCTATAAGCTTAGGTGAATGAAAAAATAATAACTAGTTCTTTGTTGATCCAAATACTGAGCAATCTTTCTGGGTGATTTTGTCTTTAGAGTGGAGAGGGTACGAGTAGTGTTTTTCCTTTTTTGTTTACTGTTTCGGTTGTAGTGTTTTTTGTATTAACCTTAGGAGTGATTATCGAGTGTGATGTCTAATGCTACTTGTACATGTCCAGTTTGGGATATATTTTTTCATATTCATACGTATTGATCTTTGTGTTATTCAGGGTTGTGTTTACATTGTTGATGCATATAAGGTTTATTGGACATGCTGTCTCAAAGGGGTTCACACAGGGCAGATGGTTCTACGATTAGTTGAAGCTATTGGTTAGATTCCCAACTTCACTTTCTTAATTGTCTTATTTTCTTGTTCTCAGTTTATTGTTTTAGTGGTTTAGATAAGTCCTGTTCAAAGAGAAAGAGAAAGAGAAAGAGAAAGAGAAAGAGAAAGAAGAAGAACAAAAAGGAGAAGAAGAAAGATATTGAACTAGAGAGTCTAAAAACCCCTCCTAGTCAACCATAATCTCTATTATATTAAAATAAGGGTACAAAGTCAAATATACCCCTACTTAAGTATGGGACAAGAGAAATAAAAAAAATAAAACAAAATTGCCACATCACTATACTACTTAAACTATAATGAAAAGACTAAGTTACCCTTACTCGACCAACTCTAACACTCCCCCTCAAGCTTGAGAATATATGTCATATGATCCCAGTTTGTTACATATATAGTTCACTCTCCCTGAACTCAAACCTTTCGTGAACAAGTCTGCCCATTGATCACCTGAACTCACGTTCTTTGTGCTTATCTCTTCAGTAAGGACTTTCTCCCTCACAAAATGGCAATCAACCTCTATGTGTTTTGTCCTTTCATGGAAAACTGGATTAGATGAGATGTGGATTGCACAACTTGGTTGTCACAATACAATCTCATAGGTTTTCTCATTGAGAATCCAACTTCTTGCAAAAGATTTTTCAGCTATACTAATTTACATGTGGTGTGTGCCATGGCCTTTTATTTAGCTTCAGCACTACTCCTTACTACAAGTTGAAAAACAGCCCTAGAAGTATGGGATTGTGCAAGAAATCAGAAAAACAAACAAGAGAAGATTAGAGAATGAGAGAGAGAGAGAGAGCTGCGGCAAGGAAGGTTAGAGAATGAGAGGTTTGAACTAAACCTCCCTCTAACACTCTAATACACTTTTATTAAGTTAATCTTTGAGTAATTACAAGAGAGGTCCTTGGTTGGACAAGAAATTAAAAAAAAATAGCATAGAAGAGT